CCCACAGCATCTTAAGCACTCACAACACCCGCTGCGGTGCTTGCTGTCCATCCGTTTCTTCTGCCGGACCGGCTGCAGCGGGATGTTGTCGGTCATGGCCGCGGCTGCCGGGGCGGAGCGGGGCGGGATGCTCAGTCAGTAGGCATGGGAGCTGTCCTTGGACTAGGAGGGTACTTAGCAACAACTGAAAACATCAGTGTGTTATCAACATTCTCCTCATACTAAATCCAAAACACAGCCCTAGCAAGAAATTTAACCCTATCCCAGCCGAAACCAGGACAGTCAGTGTTGGACTGACTGTTGACTGACCAGTGTTGGTCTGGGCGCCAACCCTGCGGCAATGAACTCCAGATTTTCCTGTGAAATTTTCTCATCCTGACCCTCAAGTTTCCGGGAAAAAAGAGTTTATCAGCAGAGGGCAGCAGTGATGTGCTCACACCAGGTCCTGCGAGGCGGCAGGGTAAATCCCAAGAGACTTGGTGGGAAGACATCCCACTGTCAGCTGGTTTGAATAAAATGGAAAGTGCCACAGCTGTGAGGGGACAGAAGGCACTGGGCAGAGGGGATGTGTGTGTGGCTGCAAAGAGTTGCTCTTTTATCAGATAAAGGTGAAATATGGCCAGGCTGCCCAACATGTAGCCTGTCATGATGACTGGAATCAAAAAAGAAAAGAGGAATTTAGGCTCAACGGCTTGGGAAGCTGCTATGATTTAGCATTTGCTGAACTTGGTTAATAGTATATTAAGGTTGCAAAGTGTTCTAATAAATACTTATTTCTGGTCAGGCCATTAACAGCGGGGACAGTATAAAACATTCCATCAGCATGGCCAACTGAAGAAGAGTACATGTGCATAGTAAGGAACAGCCTGTGAACAAACAGCGAAATTACTTGGGTTGGTCTAGTATTGCAGAGCAGAAGGGTCAGATATGAGCAAAGACATACTCAGGAATAGGAGAAGAAACATTCTGATGGCAGGAAATTGCTTTCTTTATTATAGCTTCCCAGACACAGGGGGAACGTGCACGACTGACAGGTCTTTAATATGGGCTTGGACAAAACACGAGAGGAGGATTCAGGGCAAGGCTAGAACTTGCACTGCTGGAGGTCAGACTAGGTGATACTAGTTTTTATCTTTCCATCTCTGCTTCATGTGATTCTCTCTTGTCCTTGCAGGACTGATTCTGGAATAGTTGGTACTCATTTGTGATTATAATAGGCAATTTGTACAGCCTACTAAGTTTGTCTCTTTTTTTTTTTTTCTTCCCCTTCACAGATCGGGAAAATCAGTCTATGCTGATCACGTAAGTGCTTCTTTTTTGACTGATTTGAGACTCTGTTGCTGTGAAAAACTTAGAAGAAAAAAATCCTACTGAAATACAGGTTGGCTCTTGAAAGCTCGGCTAAATTGCCTGGAACTTAATCCAAGCCAAGTAACTGGCAATTTGTCCATCTGATGGCTGTCTTGAGCCCTGTGGGAAAGGAGTAGCTAAGGGTTTGATGGAGGCTGGCCCATTTCTGATCCCCATCTGGTGTTTATTCCAAGTAGGCGTGAAAACAACTCCGTAGGCAGTTAAATAAAGAAGCTTCTTCCAGGGTTAGCCTTGCTATGGCTGCCCTCTTCGGACATAGACGACTCCTTATTTTCAATGTGGTTGCTCTTGCTGCAAATTATATTTAAGGATGTTGTGTAGACACATCTAAAGGGCATCTAAAAAAGAAGATGTACGTCATTTACTGGCAAGCATGAAAGATGGAGAGTTGGGTGTCTCTCTACACAGTTCCCATGTGCTCCTGGATAATGCCAGCAAATTACTGCAGCTTTTCTGTACGTTTTCTAACTCATTAGCTGTATATAGGTATACATCAGATCCTCAGTCTGGATGTTTGTAATAAAACTTCACGCCCTTAAAGGAAGCTCAGTGTAGCGTGGGTTTGTACTAGATTTCTGAGCCCAGTCACGTGAAGAATTAGTTGCTGCTATCGTAGGCATTCACCTCTTCATTCAGTCAATTTAATGTGATTTCCACTGAAATGGCCAAACAACAGGCTGCAGAAATCAGAGTCAGTGATTCTGAGAACAGCCTGTGTGCGGGGAGGAGCTGGCAGGACAGGAGCCTGAAAGGATGAGTTACAGCTGTTTGAGCAATGCTTATGTTATCTTCCTCCTTCCTTCAGTGGAGAATCCGGTGCTGGCAAGACTGTCAACACGAAACGCGTCATCCAGTACTTTGCCACAGTGGCAGCCCTGGGTGAACCTGGTAAAAAGAACGTAAGTCTGCTGGTGACCATTTCATTTCAGACTCCCAAGTTTTTTCTGTTGTGTACGACTAATCTCACGAGTCTGCATCCCGAACGCTAGACCATGTGCTTGGGCGCAACAGGCATGGTTAAGAAAAGAAACTGTTGGGAAAAGATACTCACACTTCTACTCGGTATTACTGAGAGCGTGCTGTTCTGAAGGTAGAAAAGCAATGCTCACCTGAACTTGCCATGCTCCAGACGGAGCTGCAAAACCACTCCTGATTATGAAAAGCTGCTTGTTGCTGCGGCTTTTTTCTAGGAGTTTTAGTTTTCGTATGTGTTAAATATGTTTCTGACTGTGTTAAAGCTGGAAAAAAGATGGGGAGACTGTGAAGATTAAGAAATTTGATTTTTTTTTCACATGGAAAATAGTCTTCAAAAGGACTAGGATTTATCATGTCTCATCAAAACCTCTGTTTTGTTGAAAGCTTTTTTTTTCCACAAAAAAGAAATGTTTTCGCCAACGATTTTTTTCAATCAGCTTCTCTGTATTTCTCTTCGGATAAGTGCTGTTCTGCTTATAAGTGCTCTCTAAGGTTACAGTGAATACTGTATTCATGCTGCTTTTTATCTTGTCTTGCTATGAGCTTATTCAGTACGAGCTTCATTGCACTTGAAGGTTCAACGCTCTTTCGTGGTGAATTAACTGATTCCTACAAACTGTATTTATAAGGCCAAAATTTCAGCAAGGCTTGGATTCCATATGCATAACTCACATCACCAAAATCTAATATACATTCATTCATCTGAGGCCTGCAAGGCTCTCTTAACAAATGATTGAGTGGTCCAGAGCCAGCTTTCTGCGTGCAGTGAGGTTGGTGCTCATAATGGTGTCTGAAACCTGGTGTGCTCATGGAACAATTGTGCAAATAACAGATATTCAGCTGGAAGATATTCCATGTAATTTATCAGCTCAGGTCGCATTTTATTTTCATTATCCCCTTTTTTCCAAATAATCCAAGAGTTCAAGTGCAGCACGATCTAATTGTCTAAAACTTGTCTGTTTGCATTTAAATGCTTTTATTCTTACCACCTGGCACCAGCCTCTTTCCTCTGTCCAGCTAGTTAGCCTTTTGGTTCATTGTGGAACATCTCCAGAGCAAAACCAGGTAGATGTTTGGAGCAGGGGTTAAAACAACAAGCTGGGTAGAAACAGCTATTTTGTAGAGCAGTAGAAACTTGGCTATTTTGTGATGTATGGTGAACACAAAGTAAGTCGCACGTGCTTTTTGAAGGAAGGCTTCAAGAAGTCCTGCTGGTGTGTTGGTGCCCACTAGACATCTAACCTTGCTAATCTTTATCTTTTGTGATGTCCTTCATGTTAGTACTCACATTCTCTCTTTTTTTTTTTTCTCCATTATGTTCCTCTTTTGACAGCAACCAGCTACCAAAACTGGGGTAAGTCATCAGCTTTACTATTTTATCTTTTCCGTGTGAAAATGGTACTGGGCTGTGTCAGTCCATGTCACGAACCTCAGCATTTCACTTTGCGTGGTTCCCCCAGTGAAGGATCCCTGGAGCCCAGGCAGTTAAAGTAGTTTGCTTCAGCAAACCAAAGTTTGTGCGAGTGACGGTTAATGCTTTTCTTATCTCCAAAAATCCCAAATATTATAAGCTCCCAGTGCTTTCAAATCTAATGCATTTTAGTGCTTGTCACTGTCTTCAATACACCCTCTCCTACACACATTCACTTGGATGTCCCCACATGCTTCACAGTACATGGGAAGATATGGTGATTTCTTTCATATGCAGATGGCATAAAATATCAAATCTACAAAGCAAAACAGTAGAGAGCAGCAGAGCGTTTGAGGCCTTTTAAGGACTCATAATTGACTGATGATCTTGCTGTTATGCCATTCACACTGTGCCACCCCTAGGGTGGAGCTAAATCACTTTGCTACGGAGGCTTCTCTCTATAAGTGAATGCATGGCTGAGTTATAGTTGACAGCTGAGTTTGTGGCCTGTAGATTTCTCAATAGTATTTCAACCCTGATTTCTAGGGAACCTTGGAGGATCAAATCATTCAAGCAAACCCAGCTCTAGAAGCTTTTGGAAATGCCAAAACCCTGAGAAATGACAACTCCTCACGTTTTGTAAGTCTGTAACATAACGTAATGATGTCCTCTTCAACAATGGCCAGTTAATAACATCTCGGTAATAATCCCTTCATAAGTTGCTTCTCATTTTGTCCACTAAAATGCTTGGATTTCCAGACAGTGGAAGAATAACAAAGTAGGATCTAAACTACTGGCAAAACTATTGGAAGGATTAAAGATAAAAAGAAACAAAGAAAGATCCACCCCAAATAATTGTTTAAACTGTACATAATCAAGAGACAAGCAAAGCCTAGCTTTATGAAGCCCTTTGAACAGCAATGGCAGATCTTCCCCAAGACTGCCTCTGCTGCATAGCCTTATTTTCCTACCATGTTTTCCACTAACCTAAGTCATTCCCTCTCCCTACAATAGCTCTACTTTGTCACTAAATGTCAGAAATACACCACAGTCCCTGCTCCCTCCCACATCTTCCTCCTCTGCAGACCCACACATGGGTAGTACTCCTACCTTTGATCCATACCATCTACCTTTTTGGCTGAGTAAGCTGCCCCTGCTTGTCCCTCAATGCTGACATGACCTTGGGCCTCTCCTCATTTCCTTTAGGCTTGCAGGAGAGCAATCCCCTCAGGAGCTCTGCCTGTGCCACATCTGGCTGGTGTTGGACCTCTGGTTGGCTCAGAGGTCCAAAAGGAATGGCATGAGGATGACAGCCTGGTTTGTAGCTCATGCTTCCCTAACAAATCCAGTTAAAAATGAAAATGGAAGGGGTGGAGAGGGTCAGAGATTGTAAGCGTCTGTGGAAAGCTACAAAATTGTATAAGGAGTTTGTCAGCTGGAACAGAAATTAATTATTTCTGAAAGTTGATGTGTTTCAATATGATAAATTAAATGAAAGCCACTCAATTTTTATGAATTTTGGGGATGATTATGCAAATTTAATGGGCAAAGCAGTGTAAAATCACAGCACCCTTCTGACATAAGTAATTGCATATAAGTTAGGACTGCAAATGAGGAGGAGTCAAAAAAGGAGCCTGTGTGTCTTATGCTCAGGCTTATTGCTCCGAGTCCTGCATTACAGTAAACCTGCATCCTGAAACTGGAAGCTATGTGCATTCCCGTATCTTAGCCTGGCAGATAAGTACACTGTCATCCTTTCCCCACAAGCTGATTACATAGCTGTATGTACAGATTTAGGCTTGGAAAAGTGTAATATCATTGTTTGATATTTCTCATTGAAAATCTACTTGTGCAAAGCCAAGGAGTTAGCATAAACTGATTCTTTGGGCCAAATGATTGCCTTCAAGCAGCATCCTTTGTTTCCCTCTGTGTATACTATATGCACTAATTAGAATATTCTTCTGTGTGAATTAGGGTAAATTTATCCGAATCCATTTTGGAACCACAGGCAAGCTGTCATCTGCTGATATTGAGATTTGTAAGCAGAAAATTCTTTCCTTTTAAAAAATACAATTGCTTGTCTGAAAGCTTGAAGAGCCTTTCTCACTGAATTTTCCTTTGTGCGACTAGATTTATTGGAGAAATCCCGAGTGATTTTCCAGCAACCGGGCGAAAGAGACTATCACATCTTCTACCAAATCCTGTCAGGAAAGAAACCAGAGTTACTGGGTAAGCATTACTGGATCCACAGCTTTTAAGAACCAACCTTTAGCTGAATAGACAGTGGCTGAGGAGGGGGCAGGGGGCAAACCCATGTGCAGAAAGGCCCTTACGCTTCCACTTGATGAAACTGAACTTCCACTGTCAAATACACTCTTTTACAGATGCTGTTCCAATGGCAGCAACAGAGATCATTTTTCTGTGATATAATGATGCAGGTACCCTATAAAGTGAAGTGATATTACAGATTAGTCTAAAGGGGATGAGACTCAGACGGGACTTCTGCAATGTAGCATTATAAAGGCAAAAAATGTCACACTGAATCTGTGTAATCCAAGGTCTTGAAACATCTAGAAAATGCTACGCCTCCAAAAGCATTTGTGGTGATAAAACTTGAATTACCCAGTTTTTCACGTATGAGGAGATTTGCTTATAGGTCCATGAAGAAAAGGTAGTTTCCTCTTTCTGCCCCAAGTGCCAAAACTGGCATCCTAGCATGTTGTGTAGCAAGAGAGAATATGCAAAGCTGCTGCTGCTGATTAGGTGGCGATTACCCCTTTCAAGCTTCCTCTGGGTGAAGATGGTCCCACAGACCTGCTGGAGAAAAGCAGAGAGCAGATGAGATCTCTCTGCTCCCATCTCCTAATGCTTTGAAAAAAATCTCCACTATTTATTTAGGTGATGTGGTTTGCTGACTTTAATTTGTGCTCTGAAGGAACACATTTTATAAAATACATTGAAGAGTCACTTTATTGCTCCACTAAACTACTAACCCATAGCAATCATAATCTGTTTTGAAATCTTATTATCCTGACAGTGCGTGATCAAGTGCCTAACCCTCTTAGCTTTTACGTGGCCTCATTAATGACGGTTACAGGAAAGATTTCAGGAAGCATTGCACTGAGATTCCTGTGTGAATCCCTGTGCTGGGAAAATAAGCTCTTTCTCATAAACTGTCTGTTTGTATGCTCTACAACAGGGCACTCCTTTCTGGCCAGCAGTAGCATGTCTGCAGGCTCTTGAAAAGGTTGAAACCAATGGGCACTTCTGTTTTGTAGACAAGAAATGTACGTGTTTGTATATAAACACATACATATCTAAATATAGATGAATATAAATATAGATAAGTATAAATATAGATAAATGAATACATAACATAGTGACTACATAGCAAAGTAAGACAGACTTACAGATAATATGATTTTATATTCACATACATTGATAGACATATATACATATTTACATACATACATATTTAGACACGTAGGTTTGTGTGTATGTATATAGAAGATTGAAATCTAGACCAAACCTTGGTCTGCTGACTGTGGGTGAAACTTTCTGTTCATTTAGGGAAGTAGGACTCTCCGTGTAGTTTTGGAGCCAGCTAGCTTTCTAGAAAACAACTCTACATTTCGGGGTTTTGATGTGAAGGAAAAGGAAAGAGGGGAGAGAGCGCCATATTCAGACTTTTGTTTATCAAGAGCCGAGTGTCTTCTGCAAAGGCTCCTGGAAGTCGCTATTTTGTGAGTCTCTTATAAAAAAGGGGAACCATGCCCATTGTCCCTGTCTTGGATCATACTAAAATCTTTTTCTCCTCTGTACTTAGATGGGATTTTTACCCCCCACAGGCATGCAAGGCAGAAAGTAGGGCTATACAGGAGATGATGAACTCAGTATACTGCAAAACATGCTTAATAGATATGCATGCAGTATTCCCATATTCTTTTTAGTCACACTTTCTCTAAATCTTGGTCTTCAGATTGGAACAGTAGAATGAGAGAGTTGGTTTCTGCCCTGCAGCTGTGAAAAAAAAAAAAAAAAAAAACAAAACACAGAAGACAACTTTATACACAGGTGTGCAGAGACAAATGTATGTCAGAGTTGATCTTTCAATCTTCATTTTTTTGGGATATCCTGAATGGATGGCAGTTTTGACCTTGGCAGTTCTTTTACAGATATGCTGCTGGTGTCTACCAACCCATATGACTACCACTTTTGCTCACAAGGAGTAGTTACAGTGGACAATTTGGATGATGGAGAAGAATTGATGGCAACAGATGTAAGCCTGTTTTGATTTGACTTTGTGCTTCATAGATTAGGTGCATGTGGGGAGGAAAAGTGCTGGCAGGAGCCTAACTTCTGTCACTGAAACTACTGGACTAAAGTAAAAGCAGAAATGGGTCTTAATTGCATTCATACTATGAAGCATGAGGCCTGATGAACTATTATACTTTTGAATCTGGCCTTGCTCCATGTAATGCCCTTGGGCACAAAGTTCTTATAATTTTGATATATAAAATGCTAGACAAAGGGAGCGCTCCTCCTGCTCCCCAGCCACTGCTGGGTCTTCAGGGTGTTCCAGGGGCTGCTCTGTGAGATAACACCCCTTGGCAGGTTAGTAATATCTGCCATGCGAAGGTAGATTGCAGGGCTGCAAAATGCCATTGCTTTTGAATAGGGAAGTGACAAAATATCTGTGTTTCCTTTTCACAGCAAGCCATGGACATCTTGGGATTTGTGCCTGATGAGAAGACTGGTTCCTACAAGCTCACAGGTGCCATCATGCACTTTGGGAACATGAAATTCAAACAAAGACCCAGAGAAGAGCAGGCAGAGGCTGATGGCACTGAAAGTAAGAATAACACCTAAAATTACTCCTTACCTTCAAAAGTCTGGCATGTATCATGCACTGTGTCGAGGAAGAAGCAGCCTGTTTGCTTTGATCGTGCATAGTGTAGCTCCTGCTCAGCCAAGAGTGCTCTGCTTTATTTGTAGCAGTGGCTTGTTCAATGGTGGGTAACCTTACTTAGTAGAAGGTGAATAGACACAGTCAGAGTAACCCAATGAAATTCCATTTTTATGACCATGTGAACAAAATGGTTGTAAAAAGTTGTCACCTTAGCTTTCTCTTTCATGTCTTCAGGTCTTGCTTTTTTACTTTCTCTTGCACCTGAAATTGTCTATAACCAGTGTGGAGATATGTTCTTTTCCCTATACCTGAAGAGTTTCTCAAGTGTGACTCTTGCAGCAATTGGGGTCTAAGGTAGCTAGATGACCTTCTCTGCCACAAGGCAGAGTACAGGCGCACCTTGCCCAAATCATTAAAAGAGCAAGGTCTTTATCCAGTTTTTCTTTGGAAGTGTAGGAACTTAATATTTTTTTCTTGGCTAGGCACGTTTCCATGTGGAAGTTCAAAGCCAGTTGAAATCTTGTTTCTCTTGATCAGGTGCTGACAAAGCTGCCTACCTAATGGGAATCAACTCCTCAGATTTGATTAAGGGTTTATTGCATCCTAGAGTGAAAGTTGGCAACGAGTATGTGACCAAAGGTCAGAGTGTTGAACAGGTAAGGAGAAGCTTTCAGCGTATTTGGATACCTGTCCCGCAAGCCTTGAGGATTCACCTGTAACATCTCAGAGAGACAGAGAGCTGCTAGAAATATTAACATGTACCTCTAGTACCTGTTCTCATTTTATATCCCCAAACTTGGGGGAATAGACAGTGGAAGTGCAGGAAACTGGTAAAGAGACTGACAAAGGAATAGTGGCTGGCACTGCCTTTGATAAGATTGTTTTTCTGATGTGTTAGTAGCAGCCATTCAAGGAAACCAGGTGCAGTAAAACCACATGGGAATTGATATCTAATTCTGGATGAGAATAGTCACCGAGAAGAGTTGAGCCATGGATTATTTATGCACTCATCATTCATTCATTATTCATGTAACTTTAAGCTCTGTGTGACCTCAATCAGCTAAAGGCAATATCCACTTAAAGGTATCTCTTAATTTAGGAAACAAAAGTCTTTGGGTTAGCACTGCTGCAGCTGTAGCAGTATTGTAGAAGATGCTGCAGCATTTTGGTTACAACGAAAATTGTTGTTCAAAGACAGGCTGTGGTACAGGCTCAGAAACTAGAAAACTGCTGGAGGGAGGTCTATCCTATCGGTGTAGTTGCGCATAGGCTAAAGAAGAGACTTTTGACAGACTTTTCCTATTGCCTGCTTATGCCATAGCATCTCTCAAAAATTAGGAGCAAATGGCAATGAGCAACTTGAGCACAGACCTCCCCTATTCTGGCAGTAGCTCTGGACATCATGGCTGGCATCTGGCCCATGAGCTTTCTGGTACCTAACTTCAACAGCAGCGTAAGGGATTAAAACATTTGCAACTTGCTGTCCAGCTGTTTCCCCAAGAGGTACTTTACTAGCACTTTATGTATGTGTTAGTATACATACATATACATTACAACAATTTGAATAAAAGCATAGATAACAGGAGAAGCTGTGTGTTGTATTAAGTATGCCTTGGTGATTATAAGAACTATTGTGAAATTTCATTTAAACCATAAGTAGGGACTGAAATAGGCTACTGCACTGAAATCCTTGTGTTCCGCAGTGAATTCTGTTCCACACAGTGGTATTTTGAAACATGTATTTTAGGTTTTGTATGCTGTTGGAGCCTTATCTAAGGCAGTGTACGATCGAATGTTCAAATGGCTGGTGGTCCGTATCAACAAGACCTTGGACACTAAGCTGCCAAGACAGTTCTTCATTGGAGTCCTGGATATTGCCGGGTTTGAAATCTTCGATGTGAGTATTAATGTGTGAGGACTTGGTGGAAGGACATAAAAGATACGAAGTGATAGCTCTTGGGTGAGGCTTTCTTTTTGTAAATGAACAGAAGGCAAATTGCTGAGAAAGCTGTAAAGCAAATAGTATGTATGGTTTTACAAGGTTTTTCCATAAATAGATGTAGAAAACACTCAGCATTTAGCACAGCTGGACATGCTGATAGTTCCTGGGGAGGAAGAGAGTGGCAACCTTTAGCAAAGGCAATATCTCACATGCTTTGGGCTGTGTTTTAGGACAATGTATTGTTTCCACTCTTTCTCTTTGAGAGAAAGCATCTTTTACAAGGTATGATATTTCTTCCTCTTTTTATCTCAAGATAAGAGATATATCTTCATCTCGATATAAGAAAGACGTTTTTTACAGTGAGAACAATCATTCACTGGAACAACCTCCCCAGGGACATGGTAGAGCCCCCATCATTGGAGGTTTTCAAGATGCGATTGGACAATCTCATCTAGGCTCCCTCTCCCACAAAAGGGCGGGCCAGATGATCTTTTGAGGTCCCTTCCAACCTGGGCTGTTCTGTGATTCTACCGTCACTGTAAATAAATGTATGTGAGAAAAGCACGTCACAACTTCTGTTTCTCAGAATCCATTCCTAAAGACAAGTGCTTAATGCTGTTGTTGCTATTCGCAGCAGGGCAAAGAGCACGTTGGCTCTGCTTTACAGGACTGATGTGGCATGCTGCTGAAGGAAAGGCACATGCATTCTGAGAGACTTGAACACATCTGAGCATCCTCACACGCCGGAGGACAGCACATGAGGCAGCCAGCAGCCTGCTGCTGAACTCCTCTCTCCTTTGCCTGCAGTGTTATGCTCAGTAGTTTCTCAACCAGTTACTGTTTAGGTTTTAGACATAAACAGGTTCCTCCTTGCTGTTCCTTGCTGAGGGGAACCTCAATCCGTCCCACTCCTACCAGTTTGATGCCAGGGCCAGCAATAGATACCCAGAGCCTGGAGAAGGATCACAGGTCAGCAGGAGAGCACCTGAAGAGCAGCACAAAGGAACACCAGCCAGTAAGACAGCTTCATCAGGGTCCCAACTTAAATGCCTCTATGCAAACACAACTAGCATGGGGAATAAACAAGAGGAGTTAGAGACGTGCGCACGCCTGCAGGGCTATGATCTTATTGGCATCACGGAGACATGGTGGGATGGCTCCTACAATTGGAGTGTTGGGATGGAGGGATACAGGCTCTTTAGGAAGGACAGGCAGGGGAGACGAGGAGGGGGTATCTCCCTCTATGGCAATGACCAGCTGGGGTGCATGAAGCTCCGCCTGGGGATGCATGAGGAGTTGACTGAGAGCTTATGGGTCAAGCCTAAAGGGAGGGCAGGGACAGGTGACATTACGGTGGGGGTCTGCTACAGGCCACCCAATCAGGAAGACGGAGCAGATGAGGCCCTCTATAGGCAGATAGGAGCAGCCTCAGGTTCACAAGCCCCGGTCCTCATGGGGGACTTCAACCACCACGATATCTGTTGGAGGGACAACACGGCAGGGCGTAAGCAGTCCGGGAGGTTCCTGGAATGCGTGGATGACAACTTCCTTCTCCAAGTGGTAGAGGCGGCAAACAGGGCAGGAGC